CCTGTGGCAGGGGGTTGGAAGTGGATGAGCTTTAAGGGCCCTTCCAACCCAAACCAGTCTGGGATTCTGTGATTATCTATGGTAGTAGAGTCTCACAGCTTCTTTCTCATAATTATTTGTGCAAGAAGGATGCTCAGGTGCAGTGCTTCTCCTGCTGTTGTTTGAGGGAGAACAGGAACAGCAAAAGTCCAGTACATTATTTCTATAATGCAAGTCACAATTGTTGGAATAGAAAGTCAGCTTTCATTTGGGGGGGGGTGGGAGTGAGGGTGAGAGGTGGGGGGAATGGGACCCCTGAGAAATGATAGTTGTGTAATTCCTTTCATTGGTGACAAGCTACTTTAGGACTAACCTATGCGTTGTTGTCACCGATTGCTTGCTCTAGAGGAAGGACCTTGCTAGGCAGCCTCCCTTTGGCAGGACAATAATGTAAATGCAGATCATATGCCAAGCGCTTTAACCTTTCTGTGCTATGGAGGAGAGTCTAAAAGACCATAGGCAACTCTGTGCTATCAGCTGGGTGACCCCATGTCTGTTAGTGGGGTCTGTGACCTAGGATGTGCCACGCTCTGCCTTCAGGAGTCAGGAGGTGTTGGGGCACTCTGGAACCCGCCCTCCCCCTCAGAAGATGAAGGTCTGTTGCATTCCTGTCTGTAATAGTCTTCTGGTCCATGGTGTGGTTACAACTGTGTGAATGCTCTACTCCCAAACACGTGACAATTCATTACAAAGCTGCTTCATTTTGTGTCAAAACCCCCACTGCAGGTGCTCATCAACTTGAACATGCAGGTGTCATATCTGCATAATCACACTGCTCACAGCAAGTAGCCTCTGTGAGACTAGCAATATGGTGAGTGCCTATAATGTAATACAGTAAAAATGAAACATAAAAATCTACTCTCATGTCCCTGTTCACCTTTTCTCACCTAACTTGGAAGAAACACTGTCTGCATTTCTAATACATTTTCCAATGCTGATTTTTCCCATCAGGGCAGTTACTTCCCTCTCTAATAATGCACAAATTAATCCACTCAAGTACAAAACTAGATATTATGATGCAGAGAGGCAAAATTGTGTGACACTGAGCTGTGGGAGTTTTACTAGGAAATTCAGTAATAAAGAGATAGTGTATTGTACTTTTATCCTAGAGGAGCTGACTTTGCAAATTGAATTCTGGTGTATTTAAATACGATTTTTACTGTTATTTTTATATGTGATTAAAACCTAATTTATCATCTCACACATCTTTACAATGCCTGATTTCAGTGATCTTACGAGGTTTTAACAGGCTGAAAATGCTGCCAAGCTCCAGCTGTAAAGCTTCCATCGTATTTGAAGTGTGCCACTCTTCTCCAAAGCTATAGAACTATTCTCTGAATTGTGTGTATATATATATATAAAAACTATATATATATATATATAGTATACTGATTTGTACTCCAGGTATTTTAGTTCTGTTGGAGTACGGTGCCCAATATTCAAGAAAAATACCATTTTTTTATGTAGATGTTTAAGAAGAAACAACAATAAGTTTAAATCAGAAAGATCACACCTAACTTGAAAGGGAGGGTACCGGTGTTACATATCTAAGAAATGCAAAGTGCTTACATATTCATCCTGCTGTCCAAAATACAACCTTGCTTATGCCCGAGGGGGAAAGCCGGCATGATTTCAAAGTGTCCGACTTTGGAAAGGAATTGGTCCTCTCTCCAGATTGTCTAATTTGATGTGAAGGTTGGTTTAGGTTAGTCCAGGAAGACTGAAGTCAGTGGTAAAAGGGAAATCTGGTGTCTCAACACTATCTGATAAACTCAATTGTGTCCATGGTTCTCTCCAAAAAGAGCCATTATCAGAGGAATTTTCTTTCATTGGCTTGACACTGGATTTTAAACATTAACCAGCACGTCCTCACCACTTTTAATTGCAGTATGGAGAAAGCCTTCTGGATGCTTCAGGGGGACAGGGGTCAGCATTGGCAATGAGCAGGGCTGTGCATGGAATTGCAGTGTCATAAACCTGCCATCTCCATGCCCAGTGAAAGTCCTCATGAGAAGTATGGGTGTTCTTCGGGGTTTGGAGGCATTCAGCACATTTTAGGAGGGCCTCGGCACCAAGTAGAAGAACACGAGGGATACATCTCCCTTTTTCCGTAACAGGTATGTATCTTCATGGTGGCAGGCACTTCCTTCAAACGAGGATTGGCCTCTCTGTGAAGTTTAACACTACTGAGAAGTCCGTGCAAACTGCTCAGATCTGTACAAATTCACACCCTCTTACAGCTACGTGGGCAGATTGAGTCATGAACTCGGATAGATGGCAGGACTGGCATGGCACTCATGACTTACTGCCCATCAGTACATACCCATCCTTGCAGTGTTACAGCCATGTAACACCTGCAGGGCTCTTCACTTACTCCTGATTTAGGTTCAGCAGGACCAGAAGCTCTCTTTTACTCTGGGTCTGTCACAAAGCCTGTTATTTCTATCAAGTTACTCAGGTTGTGTGGGTGTTTAGAAAGAGAACAGAGCCACACAACCCTCCTGGCAGTAAAAGCCAAGGTATCACAGCATTAATCACAGGAACAAAAAAAGTGAGAAGAGCTTGTCCCACACTTAAATTACTTTATCTGCTGCTTGTTTTTCTCATATAAATGCTAAGCTTGCTGAGTGGCTTCACACATTCAGTTAATGGCTCAAGTAGTGTCTAATGACTCAACCCCCTCCACCTCCATTTTCACTCCACCCAAATGACAAGTGATCATAAAGGAAATGTAAAATGGTAGATGGTGAACTGAGGAATAATGCAGTGACCCAAGTGTGTGCTTTGGGTTTGTCTCAGCTTTTTATTTTGCTGTGGAAGCCAGAAGCATCTCATGGTTTCTTTCTTTTAAACGAGATGTGCTGGGGTTTTGTTCTGTGAGGAAAGACTTGAATGTGTTTTGTGGGCAAATGGATGGATGAATTAAATCACTGAAAAAACAGAACAGTCTCAGCAAATGGCTGGATTAACACTCGACTCCCATAGATCTTGGTAGCTGAAGAGTTGTCCCTCTGTTTAATCTTTTGGAAGTATGAAAGTGTTGAAATTGGAGTACAGATTTTCAGTTTAATCTTATTAAATCTTAAACACACACACACCCCAAATATCTTTCAGTATAGTGCTATGGAGAAGAGGTTTCAGTTATGCTACAGCACAGGATGCTTACTGCACAGTGTGAGCTTCCCAGCCCCTCTTCAGAACCAGGTAGCCCCAAGGCCACAGGAGGGTGGCTTCAGACCCACTATGCATCAAACAGCCCCAATTCCCAGGGGATGGTGCTGCCCCTTCCCATGGGCAGCCCCAGCCTGCAGCCTGCTCCCACACATGGCATCTAAACCCACAGCAGCTGGCAGTAGGCTGGAGGAGCCACCTCTGGCACCCTGGTGAGGAGGGATTCCTCTTACACGGGGCACATAGCTCCACTGGTCTTCCTTAGCTCCTTTGAAGTGACTTTGTTTATGAAAGATATTGTTGCCACAGGAAATCAAATAATACACCCTTAAACGCTTTAGGGCAGGTTTTATGCAAATGCATGTATAAAACCATGTATGCACATATTTATATGAAAGGATACCTACATGTCTCTGACATTTTATAATATATAGAAATACTGTTTTAAAATGACAAATATTAAACAAAGGGATCCTTGGTATGAATGTTCCATAGCCAAAAGGAGCAGTTTACTTAAACAGGAATATTTATAGACATGAGAGCTTGGGCATCAAGTCCAAATACAAAGTAGTTGTGTTTTACAAGCTTTAGTATTTAAATATGAAAGCCTATAGCTACCATTTGTAAAATGAATCTAAGACTAGAATAAATCTTACTATCTACCATAGGAATGGCCAGAATAGCTTTCCTGAGGAAGATGCCTCATAACAAGCATTCTGAGTTTCCTCTATACTGTGATTTATTTTTTTTTTTTGTTTAGGAAAATCTCCACAATAAGTCTAAAAGCCACCACTTTCTGATGTCCAGGAATGCAGCAGAGGAATGTGGCTCAATGTGCACATACAGAGTTAAGCTCCTGGTCGCACAACTTCTGTTTTCTGTTCCACCTTAAACAAGCCCAAGTTTGTAATGCCCGGTGGAGGTAACTTCATGAAAAACACTGCTTAACACAAGCAAATTAAAAACCAATTTAACTGATGGCCACAAACAGAGCTCACAGTCGGTCATGGCCACAGAGATTTTGTGTCAGGGTATAAAAGCCATTAATCAGTATGCAGAAAGTACTGCCTGCCCATAGAGATGCTAATTTTGTGACACTTTGGAAACTCATGTTCTACATTTACTGGCCACACTAGACGGAAGCTAAACCAGCCTTAGCTTGAGCTGGGAAATCAAAGGACTGCAAAATGACACATTTTATTGTCCCTAATTTTGAGATCTTCAGTTTCTTTCTGTGAGTTGCTTGTCAACCCCAGTGCAGGCTGAGTATCATGAAAACAGTTGTCCTAACGACGAGAAGTTGTGTTCGTACAGCAGTGCTGCTGCCAGTTTGGCTGTAGAGACTGAAGAGCCCATCACTGTCCTGCTCAAGTATTAGAAAATGACAGAGTAATCCAGGAGCCAGTTAAAGCAGTTGCGGTGGAACAGAACAGAGACCGAGTGTTTCAGTACGTAGCACCGGGGGCTGTTACTTTATGTCCTGGGGATGCTGTCCTCCCGATTTGTTAGTCAAATACCCATAGGCATGGTTTATACACAGCAAGCGTATTTAGCGACTCTAACGACTACGGGCGCTGTTAACAGTAGCCATGTGACAGTTCAGGTGTTTTCCCCTGCCTGCTCCAAGTCGGGACGCAGCAGAGAAGCAGTTGTGGTTCAGAATAAAAAGCCACTAACTAATACGGCCGTTTCGGCCGGTTGTGGCGGTGCTTCCCCGCCCTGCACCGCACCGCCCCGCCCCGCACCGCCGCCAGCCACAGCCCCGCGCTCCCGGCGCCGCTCGCACTCACCCAGGGCCGCGTCGCAGATGAGGTGCTGGGGATGCGCGGGCGCGCAGCTGCAGGCCCCGGCCAGCAGCACCGTGCGCGCCGGCAGCAGCAGCAGCAGCAGCGCGGGCAGCGGCCCCAGCGCGGAGGCTGCGCGGCTCATGACGCCTGGGTCGGGTCGGGTCGGGTCGGGTCGGGTCGGGTCCCGGGGCGGCCGGCAGCGAGCGGCGCAGCTCCAGCGAGCTCGGGGATCCCTCTAGCACTGGCTCCGAGCACGCTGACTTGTGCTTCCCTGCCCTAGGACCCTTATTTATGGCCCTGACACTGACTCCTAACCCCGCCTTCCTTCAAGGCAAAAGCACATCATTGGCGAAAGTTGCTGCACCGGAGGAGAGGTTACCTTCGGGAGCGCTGCGGCGCTGCTGGTACCGGTTAGGGGAGCTCGTCGTGACCAAACGCCTTCACAAACCCCTCTTTGACGAGTCTCTAAAGCGGATTTTACGATCTGAGCAGAAGAAAGATTTTCTCATTCTCCGGTAGATCTCCTTCCCGTTTGAATTCCAAGCCTCCTCCTGCCGCCTCCTCTGCCTTGGTTTGATCAGCAAAACCGCCCTTTTCCCAGCTCTTTTTCCATTTACAGCCCCTGATCTTCCCCGGCACTTACGCGCGTTTCTTGAACTGGCGTCCCTGTTAGCAGCCTGGACAGAGCTTCGTTCGTGGACAGGCACCGTTTCAGTGCTCTGCTTGTGAGCCCTGACCAGTTGGTAGTTAACGAGGAATACTGGGTTAAAAAGAAAAGCTGCAATGAAAGGCATATTTTTAATTATTTCATCACAGATTTAATTTAAAATAACAGATTTAACTTAAAGTAAGGAAAAATGTGCTAATGGTGTATGGAACTGGATGAGCTGAAGGTCCTTTCCGACCCAAACCATTCTGTGATGCTATGTTTTAGGCACAGCTCTTTTTCTACGTTCTTTATTAATTTAAGTGCTAATCGGTCCAGATCTGTGTCTGGGTTTTCTGACTCACGTCATACATGGGACACAGACATAAATACGAGAGTCTGGAATTCTTTTTCAACTTCAGATCACTTGTTGCTGTAGCGATCTGGATTTGTGGAACATGAATCATACATCCTCTTTCTGTAAGGTTGTTTTGTGAGGGAGCAGCATAAGGTTTGATTAGAGAGCACTAACATACAGCTATAGCTTGCCATGCAGGACAGAGCTGCTCAAAGAATTTCATGTTTTGTCACTTCACAAATCCAGTTTAGGAATTGAAAATTCATTGCCATCGTTTGAACCGTTTCAATCCAGACACATGAAAATTTACTTTGTGAAGCTGGGATTGAGGTCTTCACAGAGTAGCTTCTCACCTTTCTGTATATATATGGGGGCATGTTTCACAGCGGCAGATTGGTTGTGGTTTTGAACAGTGCCAAGTCAGGTTTACAACTATTAGTGCTCTGATTCTTCTTTTTATTCCTCCCATCACCCGCAGAGACGTGCTCAGTCTGTCAAAAACAAACCCAGAATTACTAGAATTGGGTCTCATTTCTGGATTTTAGATCCACATTCAAATCTGAGCTCACCATATTGTACCCTGCATCCTCATATAATTAGTTTTTATTTTTCCAGCCTGAAGTTTTGGCTTTTAAATTTGGTTGGAGCTAAACATTAACACACCACCCCCCCCCCCCCCCCCCCCCCCCCCGAGAACGATTTAGACCTGTTGCCATCTCTGTTCTCACCTAGAGGAAGCTTTTCATGTGAGTGAAAAGATAAAAAAGATGTGAGGCTGAACCCTTACACAGGAAGTTCAAGGCATGGAACAAGACCAAATCCAAGCACGTATTTCTATGGCCTCTGTGGTCAGTAGTTGTATGTTGTTGATTCTCAAGTCTGACTTAGGGCAGTAGGACTAGGAAGTGATGAACAAACTGAGGGCCATTGGTTGATATCCAGGTGGTATTATATGGCTGCTGCTATAAGTGATCTAAACAGACCAAGTTGATCACTGCAGTAAAGAAATATGCTGGGCAAAGTGTCTTCTGTAACATTGAGCTCCCAGGCATACCTCTTCATGGTTAACTAAGGCACGTTTTGCCTAAGGTTGTCTAGAACAGCACATCAAACTACTACTCTCTGCATGTCCTGTACATACTCATTGTACAAGCAGATTAAAAATACTATGCTCATAATAAAAATAGTTTTGTGACAAGTTAAAAATTCACAGCTAACTTTCAGAAATAGTTGAGAATTAAATAATTTCAACTGAAATGCCTAACCCAAATCTTGTAATTGTGCAAAGGCCATAAAAACACCTTTTAATTATGACCTTACGTAGTGTTGCCTGCAGCTACCCTTGAGATAATCCAGTTGGGTTTTCAAGAGTCTTGAAAAGCATTCTGGACATAGGTGGAGGATTTACAGCATGATCACCCTTTGAGAAGCCAGTGGCCATCAGAAATGTCGATAAACAGGGTGCCCGTAGGTGTATGTACACCCACTCAGCATGGAAGGGACATGCTCTGGGACATGCTGCACACAACAGGACCTTTCAGTGGGGATGTGGGTTCTAGAGAAGCTTGTGGCTAGAAGGTTTCTCAACCCCAACATGAAGCAACTTGTCACGACAGCAGAAAGGCAGGTACATGCTGCGGTCAGTCCCAGGGTACCTGGACTTACTCATTCAAAACCAGCCCTTAAAACTGGCTGTTCTGCTTCCCATGCAGGTCCAGTGACTGAGCAGGGTTTTGGTAGGTGTATCTCTCATTTCTTCGTGACACAGTCTTATCAAAATGTAAAAAGGGAACAGTTTTCAAAGCCTCAGCAGAGCTCCTGTTCCCTGATAAAGCTTCATTCTGAAACAGTAAGTTTTGTCAGATTACCATCAGAGTTTAGACAAAGATGTATTTACATCATAGCATTTGAAAGGGATTTTGCTGAGCCTGGAAATCTCAATGCTCAGGAACATGCTCTCCCAAATGCAAGGAAATGCATATTTAGTCCATTTCTCAAAGAAGACAAATATTGATAGTTGTAGTTTCTACCACTAGCAGTGCAGTGTTGGAGTACCTGTTACTGCTGAACAGTATCAGCAAGCATCTTAGCTTGAAGATGCATTGTCCTTTTTTATATTGTGTCTGGTTAGGGGTCCTCACTGTATTAGGGAAATAACTTTTGCAGAGTTTAAAAGAAACCCTAAACTCAGCAACCAGTCTGTATTACAGTTAGAGCTTGACCTTGTAAAACACAAAGATCATTCCCAAAAGACGTAGAAATATTCCTTGACTAACTTTTAAGCAGAATAATTTGTATTTTAAGTAATAGTACAGAAGTTATTGCCAGGGTTTTATAAATATAAACAGACTGAACAAAACCCCAGTCTTTTTAGTATTTGTGTATGAGGACCATCAGTACAGGGCTTCTTTCACTGTGCTCTGTGTTATGATATCAGTTTTCCTTGCCATGATATCATAGCAAAATATGTCATAACACAAGTGAAGGATGAGGGGTAGCAGGATGAAATAGTGCCCACTCCCTGGTTACGTCCTGATACAGCCTACGCTTGGTTATAACAGCAAAGTTCATTTATCAAGGGATAGTCACTGGTTCCTTCCATTCATTATTGACACCCTAGGAAGAACATGTGGCACTTTTCTCATTTCTGTCTAGCTACATAAGTCTGGTGTAGAACAACTGATTTCTAGTAAAGTGCAAGAAGATAGACAGGAATTGGGATAATCTGTATTTGCTGATGTGCACAACATCAAAACAAGGCAGGACACCGCCTATAGTAAAGTTTATGATCAGCGTCATCTCAATAGGACTTCCAATTTTGTGCAGGACTTTTGGTTCTGAAGGAGCTTTTTTTACTGTGGGTTTTCATGATCCTTGCTAATTTCTACTCTGAAGCATTAGCATCCGTCAACAGCATTCTGGTCATGAATTACCACTGTTTCGTTCTGTTCTAACACCCCCAGAGACTTGTAGTAGATGCTAAGTCTCCTCTGTTGGATGCCATACCACAGAGCCCTGAAACACAGCTCCTCCTGAGCTCCAAAGCAGACTCATACTGACTTCCTGATACTCTGATCTCTTCCCTAGGAGTTACTGGGGGCAAAAGGTGGGGAATGAGGCGCATCACCCCCAGAGCTGACATGGGGGGAGGCAGCATTGCCATGTCATTTGTGCTGTGTGCTGCTTTCCCATCCTTCCTCCCAGTGCCTGCCCTCTGCTCTCATGGGTCAGCCTTTGGCAGCAGTGTGTCCACAGGACAGCCCTGCAGCACCACCTCTGCCTGGCCTGGGCCCCTTCCAGCTCTCAAGCAGTTTGAACCTACACAGGGTCATTTGGCTGGGCTCTCTCCTCTGCACATGAGCTTCTGGCAGCCTACAGAGCATGATCCTGTATCTGTATCGATCTTATTTCTCTCCATTGCGGCAAATGAATCTTGGTTTAGAATGATAGGGAGGATTTGTCATACTCATAGTTTATCTGGTGCCTTCTTGATGCTTTGCTAGAGTTCTTAGTGCTGCCCCCAGTAAGGCCACGGTACACATCCTGTAAAAAAACCCATGTACAATCAAGTAGAAAATTCCAAATTAGAATACTGTTTCACAAAGCAAATGAGCTTTCATGGATTTTAAATTTCAGTGCCTCCATATGTCCTGCAGCCTGCTTTGAAAGTGAGGGTATTTATAGCTGTCACTTCCAAAATACTACAGTAAAACAACACCATACAGTTTATAGTCACAGCAGTTTGGGTGATTGTTTTTATAAGGTTGCAAAATGCTGCTTGATTTTAGAGGCAGAAGTTTGCTAAAATAGTTGCCAGAATGGTAGGAATTGACATGTTAGAATCAAAATAGAATATAATCAAAATAGAGTTTGTCTTGGGGAAGACTTAGTTTTCTCCAGATTTTCTATACGAGATCTGTGAGAACCTCTCTTTCTGACTCACTGCCATTATAATTCACGTGTTTCACCTTAATGACCATTTCTGGTTTCTTGCTGTACAGGTATTGTTGAAAACAGAGATTTCTCTCCCATCAGATTGCCTCTGTGTTGAATTAGGTAAATCCAGTTGTGGGGACAGAGGTGTTTTAGATTGATTTCCAGGTTCAGATTTACTTGATAGTGTCCTTACACACTAAGATCATGTCAAAACTTGTATTGATGTCAGTGACTACCAGAGAAATTGGTGCCTTAGACCCAGCCCTATGAGGTGGGGCTGCTGGCAGCTGGAGGCTTCTGCTGTGCAGGGGCTGGCTGGAATAGCCAGTGTCAAGTCAACTCCCATTCCATGTGGTGGGAATTGGTGTGGCCCAGCATTTTGCTGCCTCTGTAGGACACTTATTTAGTTTATAAGCCATTTTAACCCTCTGTTTTGAATGAAGAAGTCCCAGTTGAGGTATATTTGCCTCTTCTTGGTTATCCAGCACACTAATCCAATTCAAGCATAAGAAGGTTTGTATTAAAATTCATTTAAATTAAAGCTTTGCTCTTTTCATCCACCTGAGCTTTTAGATTTCTTTAATGCCCCCATTTCTAAAAAGGTGATACAAAACCTGCCAGCTTCTCCTTTGGCTCCCCACTTGTGTAAAGCAGGTGTAAAACATTCCTGCATACAGATAGGATTTTAGACCTGCTTCCTTCAGTCAAGGTAGAAGGCAGTGGGAAATCTGGCTCAACGTTTCTGCATTGCTCTTTGTGTTTGCTGGGACAAACAGCGCTTTCTGTGTGGAGCTGGTGCTTTCCTGCAGGGCCAGCCCTGCCAGTGCCGAGAGCTGCTGGTGGCTGAGCCCCGGCTATCCTGCGACTGTGCGTTGTGCAAACCAACCAGAGCAGGGCAAGGACATCTTCTGCTGCTTGTTTATTGATTTAGGGCTCTTCCTGCCTGTTTCTGGGAAAGCAAAACTGAATAAAAGGCCACCTAAATTATTTCACTCTTAATTTCCTTTCTCCAAAATTAGATTGAGTCTGATGCATATTCCACAAATAAATTACATGGCGCTAGCGTGGTTAAATGAACTTTGCCTGGGGATTATTGGAAAGATAAATATTTAAACACTGCACTTGAGGTAAGTCATGTTTATGCAGCATCTGGGGGTTTTGTTGCTACTTTTTATTCCTGCATTTTTTCCCCCATTGTGGCTTTTCGACTCAGCTCAACCACGAGGACATGAAAGCCAGGGTGAACACCACCTTCCAGAGACTGGGCTTTCTCTATGGCTGCCTGCAGAGGGCTTTGCTCTTTTCTGAGCAGATGAGCTTTGCCTCCTTTTGCATACAGCTTGAATTACATCTCGCGTTTTGTTTTGGTTAGAAGAATTCAGAGTACATTCCGAAGAGCTCAAATGATAGCTCTTGGGAATAAACCAGCTTCTATTGTGTAGCTCTAAGAATTGCTCAAAAATCTTAAACTGCAGAACTCCTAAACCTTGGAGCACTTTCGTGCATGAAGCTTAAATTTTAAGAATTTATTTTAAACTAACAGACTGAAGAAATC